TTCAACCTACATATTGACAGAACTAAAAGTTTCACCTACAAATAGAGATCTCCCATCTCATGTAGAACCAAACTTAGGGAAAAAACAGACACAGACACTGCTATTTGTGATCTGATCACCACCACACTCTAATTCCAGCTCAGTGACCCCAGGACCTTGTTAACACAGTAATATATATACAGTTTCCTGGGCATTCCTAAAAAAGGCCAACGAAGACATTAAGCTGGCTTTTAATAGTAACACACCTACCTATAAAAGCGATATGCCTAAAATCTCTATCCCAAATACTATGCAGAACACAAAAGGTATATAAAGAACTAAATACTGTACAAAAAACACGTAAGACATAAGTGAGGTCAGTAACCAAAACCAAGCTTTGTACAATTCCAATGTGAGAATCTGTTACAGAATTTCCTTTGAAAGTCTAGTTAAGTCAAACGGTATATTTGCTTTGAAAATGGCAGACATTTGGGGGACTGAATCAACGGAGAAAAGATATATTTGTTCCTTTTAAGTGAGCAAGCTAGAAAGAAAGAACAAAAGTGGGGAAAATATCCAAAACTCCATTAACAAGAATTCACCCAAGCAACGTGCTTTCCATGAAGATTTTTGGCAGGTTTGAAGAGGTCAAACTTTAGGAGGTTCAAAGAGAAAGTTCCTTGGAATTCCATGTCAGACTGGGCAATAAGAGATCTTGTCTTGATGTCTGAATGTCAAGTGTCACTTCTTCCCTAACTACTAAGCCTAAAGTATTAGGTTACCCACAAGGCTAGTCACTCTTTACCAAATTATCCTGTTGCTTTTCTTTCTTGTAAACATATTACTGCCTAACGTCCCATTTATTTCCTTTCTTAAAGTCTATTTCCCTAACTAGATAATAAATTCAACAAAAACTAGAACCTGGTCAGCCTTGCTCATTGCTGTATCACCCAGAACAATGACTAGCACATAGAGGTGCTTAGTATATATTTACTGAATGAATTGACTCATCAATCCAAGCTAAACAAACATCTCAGAAGAGTCAGTCTTTTTTCAGTTGTAGCCAAAATCAAATATTGAAAATATGATTCCTAGACTTCAAAAGAGAATCTTCAAAGAACAAAAAGGACCTCAACACAACCTTTTCAAAAAATAAAGTAAAAAAGGCAGGTTTCCAAGGAGGGTTCACTGCCAGGATTGATGCATAGATAGCTCAGGTTTGCAACAGCAAGTATTACAATTATTAGATTAACACCTTGCTCCCTGATAACATAGCAGCTGTGCCCAGTAAGATAATGAATAAATCACCTCAGTCTCATAATCTCCTTTGAGGAAATAAAATCGATCACTTTGATTTTCTGTGAGTGGGGAAATGATGTGTATGTGTGACAGAAAAGAGAAAAACACAGACAGAATCTAATAAGGGGAAAAATGGCCAGAACACATACTGAAGGACATGACCATTTTGACAGTGCACACACGATATGAAGAATCAGAAATAAAATGCATACTGATGAATTAAAAAATTAAAGGCAGAGACGATGAGGGAAACCTGGGATAGAAGGATCATCATCTGGTAAGCAAAAACCAAGCTTACTGAAAATAACAGATGAAGGCTATTTATTGCAGGTTAGGAAGATTAAAGTGTGAGGTTGGATTACCCTACAATCCTCATGGAAAGATGGATGAGTGGATGGGAAAGACTCATTTTATTCTGCTATCCAATAATAGACACTGCCTATATTATTTAAATATAATTAATTAAAATTAAATAAAATTTAAAACGTAGTCTTCAGTCCCACTAATCACATTTCAAGTGTTCAGTGGCTTAAGACAATAGCTTAAGCTCCAAGACTTAAAAACATTAAGACCACATGGATATAGAACATTTTCATCATTGCAGAAAGACCTGCTTTACATTTCTGCTTTACATTTTCATATATCTAAAGAGCCCTCCATTATAAAGCATTTAATCAGGTATCAATAACACCATTTTCAGCCATTAATACAGGTATAATTTTAAGACCACTTTATAACAGCATGCACCTTATTACTATGAAGTCTTAATGCTAACCTGAAAATTCCACTTTGGAATAAAGATTTGTGATAAATCTCTACTTTCACAACTGTTATTTCCCAAAATTAAAATGAAACTAAATGTCTGTTTTAGACGTACAGTATCTAAAACGATAAATATCTATGCTATCATTTAAATAAAATTATGTTTAAAACTCAGATATCAAGAGTAAAAATAGTTTTTCTGTACATATTTATTCGATACTTCTCGATGTAATAACAAAGGCAAGTAAAGGAAGAAAATATTTCACTCACATCATTATAAAAGAAAAGGCAACATGGAAATAAAAATCCCCAGACATCACAGCATTTGGCAAATGAACTACTGGAATTCAACACACTAAAGTAATTCGATCATTTTTTTTCTAGAACTTTACAGTTCTAATTCAAAGGCTTTATTAAGTGGCAAATGGCCCAAACAAATATAATTTAAGAAAGCTTGCATTCATCCTTCACATGACAAAATATACAAAATATACTACATTATTATTCAGAAACCAAGTAAGGTCTATAGGATGAAAACTTGAAACACTGATGAAGTTGCATAAAAATCCAAGAGTTTTCAATGCATGACACCTAAGTGAGATAGGAAATTTCTTATGAATAAAGAAAAAGAAATAATATTGGTAAAATTCTGTCTTGAAAAGGCACCCTACTGCCTCTAGGCATTTCAAATTGTTTTTCAAATCTTGCATTAAACTAGCATTCTTTTAAGTGTTATATAATAATTGAAATTAGTGATCATTAAATTTTTAAAAGGCACTGTTAATAACTATAGTACATGTGAGGGTACGCAGAATAAAAATGTGGCAATACAGCCTATATTCCAAAATTCTGAGAACACTTTCTTCTTGACTCAGGAGGTTTCAAGCAGACTATCATCCTCCTGGGGACGGCTTACAGCTTAAGAAGAAATAATCACACAAAAGCTAACTTTACAAAACAAATCTGTCAATTGTTCTCCAACTCCAGTAATTAAAACACTCCAAAAACATCAAGTAAATAAAAATCCTAATAAGCTCAACCCACTTAATTTCACTTCCTATGTCTCTAAATGCAATCAATTAAAAGAATAATTTCAATTGTCATTGTAATTTCTGACTTAAGGACAAACAACAACAACAAAAAGGTTGTAAATTACATAAGAAATATCTTCTAGGGAAGATAAAAAATGAAAAATAGTAAGATAAATTTAATGCCCTGGGAAGAACAATTATCAAATGTTAGAGTTAGAAGCAATGTTAGAAATCATTCAGATCAAATACTCTTTTACTTAAGAAAAAGCATGGCGAAAGAATGTCAAGTAAGAAATTGAGAATAGTTTTCAAATTTACGGAACAGATATAGACAGAATGAGATCAATATTAGTACCACAATATATTTTAGAATATCCAAATGAGGTTTAGTAACAAATCTAAGTACTTACATTAAGAAGTAACTCATCTTTTGTTTTAAGAGGAAAATTCTTATTTTCCTTCTCAACTTGTAAATCATCTTCTCCATCCGACAGCACTGGAGGAAGTGATATCCGAGAGGAAGAGGAAGATGAGGAAAATGATGAGGAAGAGGAGGAGCTTGAACTATCTGAATCTGTATCACTGTAAGAAAAAGTTGAAAACTTAGTATATCATTAATATGATGGTATTAACATTATTCAACTAGAAAATTTCTACATGTTTACTGTTACTGGTGTAATTCAAAAACTAGCGTTTTAAAGTGGATTATGGTATTCGGAAAGTAGTCCTTAATCCATTGATAACGTTTTCAAAAACCCTTATTACAATAGACTCAATGTCACATATATGTCTGAATATAATTAAGCATGTGACAAATCACTGACAGGGCTCTGGGCAAGGTACTTTTATTTTATTGGTCACCAATAATCAGTTCACTTAATTGTCAAAAAGGGTTTCCTGTCAGTCTCCAGACACCTGGAAACTCAAAGTTCTCAACCATGCTGACCACTCTACTCTCTGGAAACTCCTTTAGCCCTTGACTTCCATAGCAATTCTTGTTACCAGTAACAAGTTTAAGTTGTTTTGCTAGTTACTCCACTTTGGCCCCTTTCATGTGCTTTTCTAAAAGGTCCATCTTCATTTCCTTTTCTCTCTCTGTATTCTTATCAAAAACTTCATCTACTCCAATGTTGTCAATCATCAACCATGTGCAGACAACGCCCAAATCTTCAGTGCTGATATCTCTAACCTCCACGCCTAATCTCTAGCTGCTTGCTGGCCACCTCTGTATGAATGGCACACACTTACCTTACACTAACAAATTAAAGGAGTAAAAAAAAATACATTCTCTTTATTGAATCACTTCTCTTTGAGCTTGAATTTTATTCGTTTCTTAGTCTTTATTTGATCCAGTCGCTGTAGGTAGAAACCTTGGAATCATTTTGAGCTATCACATTCTCACAGTCAATGATAAAATCCTATCTTCAGATTAGTAAATATCACTCTTATTCCACTTCTCTATCCCATTTCCACTGCTACTCCTGTTTTGAGTCTTCCTTTCTCACCTGCTTTTCTGTAATAATTGTATAACTGATATCAGTACTAGTCTGTCCCACAACAATCACCCCTTTATCCTATTGCTGTTTTGCTAGTATCTTCAGGTTCACATGGCCTCTATCCTAATCAGTTCACACTCTTGCTTTAAAAAAATGTTCATGACCGGACATTAGATATGAGGGAATTATTATTGATTTTGTTACATGTGATAATAGTATTGTGATTATGTAAGAGAATGTTCTCTTAGAGAATGAATGCTGAAATATTTAGGGACAAAGTATCATGGCTGTAAATGACTTTAAAATGGCTCATTAACATATATATATGAAACTAATAGTTCTGAAATATTAATAACAGTTAAATCAAGGTGATGGCTATAAGGGTTTATACTATTCTTCTCTTTCATTAAGAAAAATTAAAATACAGAGAAAAACCTTAACAATTTTTCTCCCTAAATCCACACTGTGTACAAGGTAAAGGTCATGCTCCTTAGCATGGCATCTCAAGGCCCCTTACAACCAGGCTCCTGGTAACCATCAATCCCATCTCCTAACACTTCTCATACAGAGCTTTACACTTAACATAGAAATTTATACAACTTTCCCTTTGTAGTATTTCCTTAGACTAGAACGTCTTCAATGCAGAGAAATTTTATTTCTCTTTATAGGCTCAACTCAAATATTACCACCTCTGAAGCCACCTGTACCCAACAAAAGGATTATATACTTCCTTCCACATTTCCCACAGAACTTTTTTCAAATGTCCTACTAGAACCTGTTCCTTACTATACTATAATTTATTGAAAAACGTGTCTTCTCAGATGGATTGTGAAGGGCTTGAAATCAAGACATTAGCTCTAGCAAGTCTTGTCTTTCCTCCTGTTACAGGGGAAAATGGGCAAAGGCCAATTTCACCACTTGGACTGAGGAACCCATGCCATTTTCAAGTGAACTCCTTCCTACTATACTGTATTATGAATCTCTTCCTCTGTTTCAGATCATTCCCATCAGCATACCAATGTTCTGTAGTACCTCTTTTTAATCCCTCCTGCTGTGGACCTCATTTCTCTCCTTAAAATTTATTGAAAGAGCTGTTAACACATTCTGTCTTTACTTTATTTCTCATTCAGTCTTTACTCCTCCACTGGCTTCCATCACTACCATTCTTTAACAAGATCATCAACAATCTCCAAGTTGCCAAGTCCAGTGGATACCTTTCTGTCATCTTACTTAACTTCTCAACAACATTTGACATGGTTCCCCACTCCCTCAAAAAACTTCCATTTTTTGGCATGCACTGTGCTACAGTGGAATTCATCCCTCACGTCCTGTCTTTATGTCTTTAAACACCACCTTCACTTAAAAAAGAATTAAAAGCCATACACTCAAATGCCCGGTTTGAATCTTGTTTGAATTCTAATTCAAACGAACTATTAAATGACAGATTTTTCTGCTTGACACAACCAGAAAAATCTGAATACAGATTGAGCATTAGGTGGTATTAAGGAATTAGGATTTTTACTAAGGTGGATAATGACATGGTGGTTATGTAAAAAGTATTTTATCAATTAGAGATGCATAGGAAAGAATTTACAGGTAAGGTGGCACGCTGACTGCTTTAAAACTATCAGGTTAAAAAAAATTAGAAATGTTAGATAAAACAAGATTAGCAAAATATTAGAAACTTAAATTTGGTGATGAGCATTCATTATACTATTCTCTCTGTTTTATCTAAGTTTGAAAATGTCAATAAAAAGTTAAAGTTTTATCTGTAATCTGATGCTGAAATTGTACATCTCTAGTCCAGAACTGTCCTCCAAACTCTAAACTCATTATACTACTGCTTACCTGACATCTCTAATTGGCTGTCAGAGAAATCTCAAATTAATTATCCAAATTAAACATTCCTATTGGTCTCCAGCCATCTCAGTAAACAGCACAACAATCCACCCATTTGATGGCTCTTTGTCTAGCCCACTGCCACATTTATTAGCAAGCCTGATCAGGGTGACTTCAAAATATTTAATCCAAACAACCATGGTCACATTATGGAATCCAGCAACATCTTTCCACCTATTTCCACACTAGCATGGACTCATGCAAAAGCTTTCCAACTATTTTCACTCTTGCTTCTCTACTTCTACTCTTTACCCAGTTCAATTTTTCCTTTACAGAGCAAAGCTTATTAGAATGTGAACTGAGCACGTCATTTCTCTGCCTGAAATTCTTCAACAGCTTCTCAAGCATTTAGAATTAAAACTTTAACTTGGCTACAGGGTCCCACAGGGTTGGGCTCTCCCAATACTTCCTCAGTGCCCTGATTGTTCCTTGGTAATTTTCACCAACTCTATTTATTTGATGTTTACTTATATTTTCCATCTCTCTCACTAGAATGTAGGCCAGGAATCATGTCTATTTTGTTCACCTCTGTTCGGTATCCCACACAACACACTTAAATATTTGTAATCAATGTTCAGTGTGGGTTAGAACATCCTACATACTCAAGTCCTCTCCCACCACAAGTTTTAAATTTAAGACATGTGCGGTGGGGCTTATAAAACCTAAGCAGAACATACAATACTAAATAAAAATATCTTGCTAATTTCAAGAACACATGCTCCCCACAAAATCCTTTAACTAATCCTCAGCCCCTCTGATTCAAAAACAAGACCACACGCTAAACTTGATGAATCAGATCTGACACAAAACTCAAAAGTTATCACTACAAAAGGACTCGCCAAACTAAGTAGTTACAGGAATGTTCCAATATCCTCAGACTACCACATGTAGAGAAGAGCGATTTGATCATTAGGCTCAAGATTCACAACCGCATTTGCAGTGAACAGCGAGAAATGGGCGGTTCGAGTTACTTGTCAACACGTGCGCAGTGAGCGTCAGGGACCTCCTCCCCCAGTCCCCCGCCCGCGCGAGCATCCACTCCGGCCCAAGGCCCGGGCTCCCCACGCAGGTTACACAAGCCCTCTCCCCGCAGCTTCGGGACCCGCAGGCACCCGACCTGTCCGAGTCTGAATCCGAGTCTGAAGTCTCCAAGGAGTCTGGTGTTCTTGCCAGTGCTGCAGCGCTGGCGCCAGTGACGCAGCTCCCTCCAGATGGCGGTTCTGGCCTCAGCTGCGGCGCCGGATTCCCGCCGACGCCAGTGCTCAGCACGAGTTCAGGCAGCTGCTCCCTGGCTAGCTGAGTCTCCACGGCCTTCTCAGTGTCTGCGGACCCCTCATCCGACTGTAGTAAAGGCGGTGGCGCTGGGACAGGAACGGAGCTCGGTGACTGCACGGTCTGACCTTGACCAACCCCCAAGCCGGTGCCATTGAATTTCAGAGTCTCCAGCTGAGCAGCGGCGGCCTCCACTACTTCCATGGCGTCGCGCCGGAGACCCAATCGGCCTCACGTTTTGGGCCTCGGACAGGGTCCCGGCTTGCTAGGGAAATAAAGCAACCTTGACAGTGGATATAGCCCCGCCTGGCCCCCACTTCCCGCGTTCCTCCGGGAACTCCACGCGGGTTTGTCTGGGGGACACGCCCCCACCGTTTACTTAGCGGCACTTCCGGGAGAGCGTATGACGTAATGTGACGCGGCTGCGCTCACTGGGGGCGGGGCGCACCGCAGGACCTTTGAATACCAGACTTCAGGTGGCCCTAAGCCCGCCTCTTTCTCTGCTTCTTCGGTACTGTGTACTACTTATACCGTAAGGTCCGACGGCTAGACTCCTATTAGTGAATCTGGGTCAATTCTCTTGCAAGCCAATACATGGAAGGAGGGATTGTAGGACAGGGGAGATCCCTGATTGTGCGAGGCTCTGTGCATCAGAAACTTGAGCCAGGAAGACTTGAACAGACATTTCTAGTAAACTTCTTTAAAGTGAAGTTAAATCCATTGATAGATAACAAGCATGTTGACCATTCATCTCAAAAAAATCGCAACTATTCCATGTTTTTTTTTTTTTTTTCCTGCAAAGCACTCTCAAATTAAAGAGAGCAATAACGGTGGACAGAATGTTGGTGCTTGGTGATGTCCATGTTGTAGTTGACACTGCTTCATAGAAAGGGTGGGAAAGGACTAAAATGTAGTAACAGCCAGGGAAACCATTACTCTAAATCATAAAGCAAGCAAGCAAAAAGTTCTAAAGGTTAAGGTGTGGATCAGAATTTTCTGGGTCCCTATTAGAACTTCCATTTGATGCTTCAGCATCTCTAGTAATAATAAATAATCACTGTTACTATTTAAGCATGGACATGTGCCAAGGACTGTGCTAAGGATTTTATCAATTATAGTCCTCTGGGTGGGGGGGGAGGGGTGGAATTTTTTCCAGGACTCTCTTCCCCTCCCCCTCAGATACTAAATCCACAGAAGTTCAATGTCCCTTAAATAAAATGGTGTAGTACTTGAATACAACCTACTCACATCCTCCAGTATGCTAAAAATCATCTAAATTACTTATAATTCCAAATACAATGTAAATGCTGTGTAAACTGTTGTTATACTATTTTGTTTAGGAAAAGAAAAAAATCTTCCGTGCATGTTCAATACTAATGCAGCCATCGTAGGCCTAACTGTACATAGTACATCAGCAACAAGGTAACATTTTTTAAAATATTCTCCATCTGAGATTGGTTGAACCTATAGATACAGAGGGCTTGCTATATTCAATGAGAATTATTGTATGCCTTCCACAGTAGTAGATCTTCACAGAAATCTGGTTTTGAGGATACTATCAATTGAATTAAAAAGATCAATGTACAGAAGATAACTAGAAAGATATTTGGAATGTAGACTACGAGATGCAGTAATAGGAAATTAAGTAAGACTGGTGGGCTGTATCATGGAAATCCTCCAAATAGAGGCAGGAATTTAAACTTGAGATATTACTCACTAATGCAATGACTAAGCAGAGCTCAGTGTTCCAGCTAATAGACCTGTGTTCAAATCTCAGCTCTCCCGTTTCCTTGTCACTGTAACTGTGACCTTGGGCAGGTAGCCTAACATAGCTAAATCTCGTTTTCCTTATCTGCAAAATGAAAATACAAATACTATCTTATTTAGTGCTTTTGAGCAATAATTAACATTTTATATGAGAGAATGGCCCCTGTCATACACATAAGTGTGCAAAAATACTTGATCAATAGAACAATGCATGAACCTATAAATAAAATGATTCTTCTATGACAATGGTATTGTAGAGATAAGCAGTATGAATTGGAGAAGAAATTTGAGTCAGAACGACCTCTACCAAGCCAAAAGTCTGTTGCATTTTTCCAGGAATTAAGTGATGGAAGTCTGAACCAGGGCTAGAGTCAATGAAATAGAGTAAAGGAGATAAATCCCTAGTATCAGAAAAATTATAGTATTGTAAAATTTCTAAACAAGGAAACAAAGAAGTTACTATTACCAATAATGGAGAAGTTGGAATGAGATAATGAGTTTTGGACATTGAGTTTCAGGAAAAACTAGACAGTTGAAAATGCCAGCGGGCTTTTGAAAATATAAGACTGGAATTTGATAGGTTAAAGCCAGAAGTTTGGTGTGGGAACAATTCAAATACCCATTTGTTCATTCAGTAATCATTTACTTGCTACTGTGTCTATGTACTGCACTATGAACTGGGCATATAGGTTGGTGAATAAAACACAGTCCCTACCCTCAAGGAGATAACATTTTAGTAGAAATGACAAGTAGGAAACAAGTGATAAATGCGTTAGTATATAGTAGAGCACGTACTGTGGTAGTGGAATGTACAAAATAGGAATACTACAGAGAAGGGAAGTACTGGGAAAGATAAGGAAAGCTTTACAATGACTATGACATTTGAGCTGGGCCTTTAAAAAGAACCATGAATTTTTTAATCTGAGAAAGTAGGAGAACTTCACAATGGAGAATAAATAAGATCATGTAATTTTATGTTTAAAACTGGAAATATATACCATCACACTTAGAATAAAATCCAGACTCCCTGCCTTTGGTCTTCAAAACTCTGCCTGACCTGGCTGCTACTTGTCTCTCCAATTTCCCCTGCCTTGTGCTGTTCCTGTCTGATCATCTTGATCTTCAATACACCAAGCTTTTTCTTTACAGGGCAGTCTTACTTTGCTGTTCTCTCTTCTCTTCATATTAATATGGTTCATTTCCTCATTTTACTCATGTTTCTACTGTATTACGCCCCAGAGACCACACAGTCCAAGAGTATCCTCCAATACCAGTCCTTCTCTAGCTCATTGCTCTTTTTTATTTTTAATGATACATATCTTCACATGAAATTGTTGTATTTATTTACTTCTTTATTCTGTTTTCTCATAAATTAAGTCTCATGAATTTAAGATCATAGTGTCTAATTTACACCTGGCTCTCGATGTCCAGAATCATAACAAATCCTAAAAAAGAAATTTGAAAGAAAGAGAAAACAAATTATCTTTATGAAACAATAATAGTAAAGGAGAAATGATTTACAGATAAAGTTACAGGTGAAATCTAAGTTATTAATTCAGTTTAAATGAATTTAACCTAAGAAAGGCTACTGGTTTCCAATAAAAATCTCTATTTGTTTGGGGGATGGGGACAGTCTCTGTGTTGCAGGATAAGAATAGTTGTACCTCTGCCTACCTTTAAACTAGGTCACTATTATGCAATCGCTCCTATTTTTAAGCATTTGAATGTTTCAAAATATCTTGAATTTACCTACTTCCCAAAGCTTGCCACTCTACTGCATTATGTCTAACAACTGCTAAACTTAGCCTGAAGTCTTTAGCCTATGGCTAAAAGCTAAAAAAAGGAAAAGAAAAAACAACACCCTTGAAAGAATAAGTTATCTATAGTATTACTATTAAAATTAAGAAAATTCGCCTTGAGTTAAATTACGAATTAAAAGCCATGTTGCATTTCAAAGCTAACATGTAAAAAAAAAAAAAAAAAAAAAAACTAAACATGTTCTTTAAAGTACAAAAGTAAAATTTATGAGAAGAAACTTATTTGAAAAACAAACAGAATTTTGCAAGTTCACCAGTCTCTACTTGTTATAAAAACAAAAAAAAATAAATGGCTAACCAGCTCTTAGTGCCATTTTCATTGATTTGAAATGCCTTGCTACTCAAAATATCATAGTGCATCACATGGAAACTTGTTTAAAAAATGCAGAAGCTCAGGCCCTACCTTCTGAATCAGAATCTGCATTTCAACCAAATTCCTCAGGTGATTTGCATCCACATTAAAGTTTAAGAAACTGCCCTAGTGACTATGTGAGGGCAGAAAACATCCCCAGAGTAGCATAGTGCTTAAAAGTAAAGTGAACGAAAGCCTTTTAAAGCAGGAGTTGAAGTGCTAGACCATTGAGTCTAAGCTGAATAAACTGACTAGCTCATTGTCTGTTGATACCTCTCTTTGGATGCCCCACAAGTACCTCATACTCTCATATCTAAAATGGATCTCAGCATCCTTTTCCATATACTTTTCCTCCTTTATCTCCTATCCTGGTAATGCCACCAACATCTTTCTAGTCACTCAATATATACTAAGTTTCAGTCTCACCAATTTACTTTGTGTGATAGTCCAAGTCATATTTATTCACTCATTCATTCAGTAAATATTAACCAAGCACCAACTTTGTGTCAGGTTGTAGGTATTGGAAATAAAGTGGTAAACAAAACAGAAAAGGCCCTTAAGTTCATGGAGCTCACGATATAAAATGTCAGTTTTAAATAATGAAAGACCACCAGAGCAGAGCTCCATAGACCCTTCAGAGTGTATCAGGAGCTGATCAAGGTGAGGGTTAGGGAAAGGGGAGGTTGGAAAGACTGGCATTCCAGATCTCTTACACGTATTGGGTTTTGAGTAACATTTCATTTGAAGAAAGAATTTAGTGGCAATAAAATAAAATAAAATAAAAATACACCAATAAGTTGAAACTTAATGCCTTTTCTGGAAACATCATTTTATATAGTCTTCGTTTTCTGTTTCCAAATTTCTAAGTCAGGAATTTTTATAGATGACATACTGATCAATCTTAGTTTATTTCAGTGTTTAAAAAGACATGAATAAACACACATACAGTTCAGTTAGAAGCCTGCAATGCCCTTATTAAATGGAAATGAGAAGATTTTCTAATACTTGTCACACAATGACTAGAGGGAGGATGTGTGACTATTTAAGCAAGTCATTATTCCCATTTTTGTAAGACTGGGTCAACGTCTGATTTTTGCATTGCAGACTAATGCAGTAAGGAAAAGAAAGACATACGTGCTATTTCAGCCCCAAACATTTTACCAGACTTATTTGAGCGTGGACAGAAAGAATAGAAAAAATATGTACCAAGAATGTAAGGGGAAATACTTATACTCCGCTCCTCGTGTTTCTGTAGAGGGAAGATTGCCACTTCACTACTCAGGACTGAGAGTGTGAAAGTAAAACCTCTAGCTTTCCAGTCTCCTCTCACATCCCACTGGTGAAGAGAGTAACTTACATGTTTGATGAACTTGAGAAAAGGAGCTGGACAGGCTTGGCCCAGTACCTTTTCGATCCTTCTTCAGCTTTACTTGTTGGCAGAAAGGGCGCATCTGAGCTATC